AAGCTTCCAGAAGCATCAAAAAGAAGCATCTAGAATCTTCCAGAACAGGTTCACACAGGTTCATTTTACTAAATAAGAGACATGTAAACCAACATGTAATTCAGTCAGTATATGGAAGTCAATCAGTCAGTATTATAAAGACAGTTTATCGAAGTGAGTTTTATCAAAGTGTTTTATCGAAGAACATCAAAACAAGAATTGAAACACAACAAGTGTTTCATTGCATCAATACAGTCCACATCCAACCAAGACGTTGTGTTCCACAGAGCATTATTGTATCATCACAAGGTAAATGTAACACAGTAAGCCTTGAGAAGCGTGATTATTTATTTTTATTATTTTTATGACTTCAAGTGCAAAAATGGCTCCCGACAATCTTAGATTGAACTAAGAAAGAAAACTATTGGCGATTATGTAAGTGGAATGTCACAAAAAAGTACTTGTGATAAATATTGTGTGAAAAAATGGACCGTATCAAGACTATGATCCAAATATTGTTCTAAAGGGAAGTTGGAATAACAAAGGTGGAAGACCGGGTTCCACCACTTCTAGAGAGGATTCTATGATCGACAGATCCGTCAAGTAGGATCCCTGGATATCATCAGTCAAGATACAAAATCAATTAGAACTGCCTGTATCGGATCGAACAATCAGACAATGTGCTGTTGAAGCCAGATTGTTTTCTCGACACCCTGCAAAGAAACCGCTGATTTCACTAAAGAACCAGAACAAGACTCCTGTTTGATACATCTCATATTGACTGGAATGTGCAGAAATGGCAAACTGTCCTGTTCAGTAATGAATCAAAGTTCAACATCATTGGGAGCAATGGCATTTGCGGTGTACATCGACTGGCAGGAAAACGCCTCTATTTACGTTATTGCCATAAGACCGTGAAGCATGGTGGGAGCAATGTCATGGTCTGGGGGGAGGCAGTTTTCTGCTAACGGTCTAGGTCCAATACATCAAATTGATGGAATAATGAACCGTTTTATGTATAAAAATATCCTAAAAGATGTTATGTTACCTCATGCTGAATGGAATATGCTAATAAAATGGGTTTTTCAGCAAGACAACAATGAAACACACTGCAAAAGTAGTCAAGCAGTGGTTTCAAGACAACCAACTATCGGTGATAGATTGGCCGCTTCAATCTCCGGATCTCAACCCTATAGAGAACCTGTAGGAGATCATCAACCGCAGAATTAATTGTAAAGGTGTTCGTAATAAGGATCAACTGTTTGAACAAATCCAAAAGGCCTGGGCAGGGATTCCACAAAGTTTCATTGATCACCTGATCAAATCTGTGTCTCAAAGATGCAAGGCTGTTATCAACAACAAATGATTCACCACAAAATATTGATAGAGCAATACTGCTTGCACAACATTTTGTGGATTTGCACTTATTTTGTTTAGAAGGAAATCAACTTTTTTTAATACTTTAGATTAATTTATTAATTTTTGTGTACAAATAATGAGCTTTGTGATAAGAAAAACTTGAAGAACCTTGTCTCTAAACAGTTATATTGTTATTTCTCTAAATTCAAAAAATGCAGCACTTTTATATAAAGAAACTAAATTAGCATTATTTGGTTGCACTTGTTTTGTCCGATACTATATATATATATATATATATATATATATATATATATATATATATATATATATATATATATATATATATATATATATATATATATATATATATATATATATATATATATATATATATGTATATATATATATATATATATATATATATATATATACATATATATAGATGTATATATATATATATATATATATATATATATATATATATATATATATATATATATATATATATATATATACATCTATATATATATACATATATGTATATATATATATATATATATATATATATATATATATATATATATATATTTATATATATATGCATATATGTATATATATATATATATATATAAACTTTTTTTATGCTTTTAACCATATCTTAGTTAATAATGCGGTGTACTTTAATATGACTACACATTGACTAATGTGGTTAACATTAATATTAAAATAAAATGGATTGAAAATATCAAATTAAATTAATTTCTTAGTAAAAGTTAAGGTATTGCTAAAATTAGTTAAATTATAAGTTTATTAATATTAAAGTTTGCTTTTTTATTCAAAATCTAGCGTGTCAAATGATTATTCAGGTTCAAAATTTTTAGTTGTTTAAAAATTTTGGATTTTTATTTCAATATGTCTAATAATTTTAAAAAGGAACATAACTAATATAACAACAAATATTTGGTTTTAAAAAATCTAAATAAATAAACGATTCTTTACTAATTTTTTCAATTAATTATTATAATTATTTTTCTGATTTTATGCTTAAATTGTATCTAAACTCCTTCATAGAAAGCTGTCGAGCTTATCATTTTTAATACCATTGTTAGTAATTTACTTTTTTAAATTCAAATGAGATTAATTTTTTATTTATTATAGTGGTCAATTCACAAGAAATTTTGTTTTAAAAAAGAAAAAAGTTTTTGAAAAGAAAACCTAAAGGGAAAAAAATGAATAAACCACTATCTAGAAAAAAATTACCTCTTTCAGGTAAAATATAAAAACATTACTTTGAAACTAACTTCGTTAAAATTTTATTTTTCCATAAATGATCATTCTGACAAACAATATTAAATCTTCTACAGCATTTTGATAAGTTTGTCAAGTCCTTGTAATCGATATTATTTTGATTAAAAATATACTCTAGCAATTCTTTTCCAAATTCATCTAATTTAATGCAACTGACTGGCATAACACCTTTTAAATTTATTCCCCCTAATATACTCTTGTTTACATATTTTTTATCATAACTTCATCGAAAATTAGTATTCCGGTCCTATATAAAATATAATCGCTTATAATTAATACTTAACTTAACGCTGCTGCTCACCATTCGTGCACCTTTACACGGACTTTTTTACCATACTTGGCCTTTGAGTTTTATTATAAATTGCTTTACTTCTGTACACGCGATATGAGGCTCTTTCAAATCTTAATAATCTGTCAGTATCTGCTTAATCAGTAATGAGATCAAAAACTTTGTTTCATCAGCTTGATTAGTGATAAGATCAACAATTTTTATTTGATAACTTCTGTAGTAAAGGATGAACATTATGTTATTATTGAATTAGTAAAGTAACTTTTAAAGTCAGGTGATTTATTTAAATCATGCATTTTAGTCTTTTGTCAATTGTATTTAAATTTATTAATTTATAAAATTAATCTGTAATTTTTAAATTAAAAGACGACTCAAGAAGACGTTGCTCATTTCAAAGGTCAAGAGGTCAAACTCTTGATAAAGTTAGTGTTTAAAACACTTGCATCTCACACGGTCAACTCAATGTTACATGTTAAAGAACAAGATCGTTTAATACCTTATTTAAAAGAAGTTATAAAAATCCGTATAAAAAACCAGATTGTTTGATAGTTTGTTTTTGAAAGTTGTTAAACATTTATTACGAGGTATTTCAAAAAACAAAAATAAGGTTGTATTTGTAAAGTTTCAAATTTATATATTTTTCTTAATTTATATATTTATCTATATATGTGTGTTATTTATATTGTGTTTTATTGTGTATATATGTGTTAAGGTTATATGGGTTTATATTTTGTAAGTGTGTAAATATATGAAATGTTTCAATATTTGTGGTGTGTTATATGTAATATGTTTATAGTTTGTAAGTGATAATTATGTTGTTTGCATGGTTTCAAATTGTTGTGACTGGGCTTAGTTTACAGCAAGATTGTTGACCTTGCTAGCCAAGTGGTGTACTTTGCTATAGTGTGACCTGGCTTTGTTGAGAGCAAAAATATTGTCCTCGCCAGCAGAGTGGTGTATTGTCATAATAAAACACATAAATTAATTCTGTTTGTAATTAGTGTATTTCTAAAATGTGTTGAAAAAATATTGTTGAAAAAATGTGTTTTAATGTTGTTATCCTCTGTTCTTAACAATGTATGCTTTTGACAATAAATAAATTTTGTTAAAAAGCAGGCTTTACTAATAGCTCCTCCTCATTAAAATTTTTAAGAGTTTCGATTTTCTTCATTAAATATGTTTAACTCAAATTTTTTTTATATATACAAAAGTAAGTATAAAGCGTGTTGAAGCATAAGTTTTAAAAACTTTTGTTAAATTTTTAGGATTTTTTGTATAGAGAATGTTTTCTTTATATTATTATTTTAATGTTTTGTATGTACATCAATATATATATATATATATATATATATATATATATATATATATATATATATATATATATATATATATATATATATATATATGTATATACATAGACACACACACACAATAAAATATATAGAATTAAAATTTCTATACATATATTATATGTATAGACATTTTAATTTTTTTGCCTTAAATTATTGTCCCTTTTTCTTTAGAATATCTAAAAAAATTTTAAAATATCTAAAAATTTTAAAATACCAAAAAAAAAAAAATTAAAATAGTAAAAGAAGTTTCAATATTTCCAAGTTTCTTCACTTGAAGCAAATATATGATTGTTTATAGAGGTTCTTTTAGTAGTTTTGTATTTATTTATTGCAAATCTTGCGTTAAATGCCTTTCAAAGTAATGAAAGGGTTTTGTTGATGGATGATTACATTTTATCCTTCCATGCTAGCAGTACTTGCTGAGTTGACAGGCCTTAAATTTTTCTAATTTGCTTTATTTATGAGTTCTTATATGTAAAAAATTTGTTTTTTAAATTACATTTTTTTTTTTTTTTTTTTTTTTGATTAAATACTTATAATATTTTGTCAATAATTAATAACAACTACCATAAATATATAAACAATACTTAGTTGAAAATATTACATTAATTTATAACTTTAGTTTAAGTTTTTAATAAAACTATGTTATCTTAACACAATGCTATATATGGTAGAATATAATAGATTATAGTATTATGCTCTGTATTATTTGCTTACACTTTATTTTAGGTAAGTTTAAAAAAGAAACTTCAACTTTTATTATATTAGGCATCATTTTTACACACTCCTTTGATGCCTAATTATGTCTAATAATTTAAGAAATGAAATTATTAGACTTCGTCAAAATGAATGAAGGCAGGCTAGGCGAGCTGAGATAAACCGCCGCCGAAATAAAAGAGATGAGCCCAGGCGAGCTGAGATAAATCGTCGTCGAATTGAAAGAGATTAGCCCAGGCAAGCTGAGATAAATCGCCGTCGAATTGAAAGAGATGAGCCCCGGCGAGCTGAGATAAATCGTCGTCGAATTGAAAGAGATGAGCCCCGACGAGCTGAGATAAATCGTCGTCGAATTGAAAGAGAAAAACAATCAATGAGCCCCGGCTCATTGATTGTTTTAATTGCATTTTTAATTTTCTTTTATTTATCTCTAGCTGCTGCTTCTTCTGCTACAAGTAAGTTGTTCTATTCACTTATACTTGACTTAATTTATGGATTAATTGGTTTTATTGCATTTTTAACTTTCTTTTATTTATCTCTAGCTGCTTCTTCTGTTATAAGTAAGTCACTTTTACTTAACTTATTACATTGATTGATTGTTTTTATTGCATTTTTAATTTTCTTTTATTTATCTCTAGCTGCTGCTTCTTCTGTTACAAGTAAGTTGTTATATTCACTTATACTTGACTTAATTTATGGATTAATTGGTTTTATTGCATTTTTAACTTTCTTTTATTTATCTCTAGCTGCTGCTTCTTCTGTTACAAGTAAGTTGTTATATTCACCTTTACTTGACTTATTACATTGATTGATTGCTTTTATTGTACCTTTTGTTTTTTAATATAGCTACAAATGTGCTTTCCAGTTTAATTAGTTAATGTAATAAGTCAAGTATTAGTGAGTAAAATAAATAAGTTGTTGTGCTCACTTGTACTTAATTTATTACATTATTTGCTTTTATTGTTTTTTTACAGTAGATTTTTTGTAAGTATTACCTAGGTAGATAGTTGTATTTATATATAATTTTTTTTTCAGGCTCGAAGTCATGGGAAGATTTCCGAAAGTATCGCTCCCAGCATCCAGGCCCTCTATCTATGAGGGCCTTCCATCGCTGGTGTTTGTATGGGGACAACCATCCTTCCTTTAGATGGAGGGATGGCACCCCATACAACACGGGGAATAGAGCGGATGCTGGGAGGAGAAGACAACGTGGCTCAAAAGTTGTCAATAATTTTTTTACATTTTAAAATGTAAAGAAATTGACAACTTTTGAGCCACTTCATTTTTTTTTTTTTTTTTTTGTATTTTTTTTTTTTTTTTTTATATATTTTTGTAAATTTATTTTTGTGTTGTTTTTTAATTTTTCCAATGAATGTTAAATGTTATCAAAGTAAATCATTTAAATAAAGACACCTTTATCAACAATGCTCATTAACTAGAAATAAAAGTCACGGTCATTCATTTGATGAAGTTAATGTTTATCTCAAAGGGATTTGGTTTTCAAACAATAAAAATTCTATGTAGCACCTTCCAGAACTAAGAATATAAGTGTGTTGTGTTAGTAGTTTAAAATATGTATAATAAACTCAGAATAACTCAATAACCCTCAACAAAACTATGAGCTAATTTTGAAATTCAAGTTGAGCTTTTTTATTTATTAATACCTCCCCTCCCAATAACTCTAATTTTCCTTAAAAAACTAATTTTTTTGTCCTTTGAAGGTGGTTCTGCTATTTAATTAATTGTTGTGATGTTTTATGCCAATAGATTTAGCTCACATTCATGTTGGTCTGTCAGGGTTATGTAAAAATAAAAAAGTAAGTTTCTTATTCGCATTTTTGAGTTTTCAAAAGTATTGATTGCATGACATGTTAATTTGTAATGTGTATGATTATGCGTTTAAATAACTTTGTTCCATTTTTAGTTCCGTTTCTTATAGCTGACTTGATTATGGCTTACCTAAAGCCTAATATTTATGAAACAATGATTCAATTTAAATTGTATTATAAGTAGCTCTGTTGAATAAAATTTTTTTTTGTAATTTGTGCTAAAGGTTATATTTTTATTTTTTATCAAGAAAAATATGTTTTTCAGTAAATATTTATATTTTTTTATTTTGGGATTTATTGTTTAAAATGGATATTAAAATCATTTTTGCTTTGTCTTTTATATTTCCTTTTATTATATATGAATAGGAACCATTTATGCTTTAATCACCATTAGCACTCGAAGTTTCCATTTGCATTAAGTATCGATTTTTGGCACACACAACAGGTTTAATAACTTAGGCAGTAAAAACAGCTTGAATGATTTGTTAAGAGTCTTTAAAGAAACGCTTTTACGAAAAGCATTAAATAGATAAAGCTAACTTATTTAAAATAATAAGTCTTTAACCCGTTTTTCTATATCCAAATTTGCTTTTTAAATAAATGTTGATGAAAGGGTAAAATATCGTTATAGCCTACGTTTATTTTAAATTCTTTTTAAATTAAAGGAAAGAGTTTTGATACTTATTTAAATAGGGTTAATAAAATATTTTAAATTATATTATATATATTATATTTAAGAAATTATTAAACTAAATTAAATAAGATTTTTAGATAAAACAGTAAAAATAATTGTTTAAAATACGTGCGTGCAAATAATTCCTACAAATACTAAACGTAAAATAACGCTTACAAACACCAAAAGTATGTTTGCATGCAAACATACTTTTGGTGTTTGTAACTTTATTCTTCTTTTTTCTTTATTCTCAAACTTCTTTTGGTGTTTGTAACTTTATTCACTGCATGCAGTGAATAAAGTTAAGTTCAAAGATAAATAGGAAGAAATGTTTAAAACTGTTTCAATAATAACATTTATTTTTCAATTACTTTTGTTGTAAGTTGGGATGAAAAAAAAAGGTCACTGGAGTATGAACTCCCGGGGTGAGATGACTATATCTGTCTAAGTGTTGCGCGTCTACCAATTAGCCCATAAACGTATTTTCTATTTAGAATTTAAGATTATTTATTACGCATAAGTGTAATTAAAAATTCAAAACCAAAATTGCAAAAACTGAATTTAAATAAAATCTAATTAGATGTGTATATGTTATGAACGTTAACTAAGGCGTACTTTAACGGCGTCACGTGTTGAATGTTTTAGCATTTTTCTAAGTTCGTAGTCTTTTTTACGTTTTTTCTTATTAAAATTTTTATAATCGGCATAATATTAAAATTGTTTGAAGTTTTTAAAAGAACATTTTAACAGAAATGTTTTTGTCATTATCAAAAAGTAAGTATAGTTTTTTATATGTACATTTTTTAACGGTTTTAAAAAAATATTGAGGTAAGGAATAAGTATAGAAAAGGTCGGTGTGGAATAGATTTACTAAGACCCTTAGTTTACGTCCGGATAGCTATAGATAAGTATAAAAATGGTCGGTTCGGTAAAGACCCGTATTTTACGGGTCACCCCAGCTAGTATATAATAATTCTTGTTTTAATCCGGTTAGATTATTTATCAGGTTTTTATGTTCGCGGATCATGAAATGATAAATAAATGGCTCAAGGCCAATTATTTATTATCTATTTTCATCTTTCAAAAAATGGGAGTGTTATTTTTTAAGAATTTTGAGATTTCTTTTTGGGTTAAGATTAGGTTCAGAGATCAGTTAGGGGCTAAAATGTAAATGTCAGGGTTAGGGGGCTAAAACTTAAAATAATTTTTTCAACTTAAAGTAATTTTTAATTGTCTAAGTTTTTTTTATGTTTACTTTGAAAGGTATTTAATCATAACGTATTGTTAAAAAATTACAACTTAATGTAGTATACTATATTAGTTGTATACTAAGTATACAACTTAATTTAGTATACTATTATATTAATAAATGGTAGTATTATCGGCGAACAATGCCACCTTTGATGTGAGAATATCTGGAAAATCGTTAATGTAAATTAAAAAGAGTATAGGGCCAAGGATTGAACCTTGAAGAACCCCTAAGGTTACAGAATAAGAAGAAGAGTGCTGTCCATCAAGGACAACTTTTATACTACGATTGGAAAAGAAGGATTCAATAATCTTAAAGATGTTTCCAGATACACCGTAAGAAGAAAGCTTATGGAGAAGAACAGCATGCCAAACTTTATCAAATGCTTTAGAAATGTCAAAAGCAATGGCCTTAACCTCTCCACCTTTATCTAATAAATATAAATATAGAAGTTTGAGGTATAAGATGTCGAGCAATGGATCAACCTGTTTGACGGCTATATCAGGTAGAACGCAACTAGTGGAATCAAGAGATGATATTGATGAAAAAATTTAGCAAACAATTCAGCCTTGTCTTTAGATGAGGTGACAAAGTCTGAACCATACAAAAGAGGTGAAATTACAGACTTGCCCTTATTATTGATACTATTAAAGATTCTCCAGAAGTCACGAGAGCCTAATTTTTGTGATGAAATATGAGATTTCATGATCTGAGAATAGCGGGCTTTGGTGTTATACAAAACCTTTTTACAACGGTTCCTTGCAGTAATAAACAGCCGTCTGTTTTCTGGAGAATTATTTTGCTGATAGAAATGGAAGTAATGATTTCGATTGGCAATTGCAGCAACACAATGTGAGAAAAACCATTGGGAAGAGTGAGGCTTGACCTGGAATCGTCAAGAGGGAACAAGGGAATTCATGCCAGCCTGAATCCACAAAATTATGTAAGAAGCACATTTGTCAACAGGAAGACGAAAGATTTCTACCCAGGGGCCATCACGAAGAAAATCACGGAAAGACTCCCTGTCAGCTTTAAGGTAGTTGTAAGATGTACGATGATAGAGGGATTCTGATGATAAAGAAGAATGAGGTAATAGTTTTAGAGAGATCAAACCATGATCGGAAGCACCTAAGGGTGAGTGTGGAGAAACTGAGCACTGACTAGGATCAGAAACAAGGCATGAGTCGAGTAAAGAAAGTAAATGATTCGGGTTGTCTGCAAAGCGAGTTGGAAAGTTGACTATTTGAGTTAGGGATTAAGAAAAGCAAATTTTGTGGGCTTTAATGACTGCTCTAGAGTCACTTACATTGGAGCCATGCCATTCAGTGTGATGAGCATTAAAGTCACCAATAACAACAATATTGGCTGATGGATAAAGAGAGAGGGCTTGGTCAATATGATCAGAAATAACATCAATAAGAGTGCAGTCTTGAGATGAAGGAGAGCGATATAGAACAAAGAGAAAGGTGATAGAGTGAAGTAGTGCTAAAAGAAAGCATATAAAAGAGTAGATTGTGGATTTAAACTTAGTTTCCCGACAAATTGGTGAATTCTTATGAATGTAAATGCCCAGGCCAAGCAAGTGACTATTGGAGTCTTTACGAATTAAAGGAAGGTAACCATTAACTCTAAGACCACAAGATGAGACAGCTGAACTCAAATTAGTCTCACAAAGAGCAAATAGGTCTGGTGAACTTTGAAGAGATAAGACTCAACAGAAGAAAAGTTACTTCAAAGACCACGAATATTTGTGAATGATAGGTTTAGCGAACTTGGTGATGACTGTGATTTTTTGTGTTTTATAGTTTTTTTTACTTTATTCATTTTTAAATTTGTTAAAGAACTTGACTCGAAACGTAGATAGTACTCAGTACACTGTCTTATAGCCCAAGGAATTTCCTCATTACTATTAATAAACCCTTAGCCGAAACAAAGGGCTCCAATGTGGCCACGGCAATGCACACCAAAAGTACAAACAGGGACACCGTCCACGTGCATCATGGCACTGTTAGTACTCTGATATTTTTCAGCTGATGATGAAATCAGCCTATCTTAGAGCTCCCACAGAGTTTGGAAACCTGACTAACAGCTGGCATCAGAACCATAAAACTGAGTTTTAGAGCTCTACCCTCACTAGGAGATAATAAATGAGTTGCCTAGTTATAAAAACAGAGACACAAGCAAAACCCATGCATCGGGTCAAAAAAATCTAGCATTCATCATCCTAAACAGAAAACAATGTATTAAAAATACATCTGCACTAGCCTAATAGATGAAGAAGGGGTGCGAGGCTGGTCCACAGATAGAAGCAGTTTACCCCTCAAGTCTTTGCCTAGGACGTCTTCTACAAGACAGCAGCCGGATGCATTTAACATCTGCCCAAGATGAGTATTTTTATCGAGATACCATCTCTAGCCTTTACTCAACCAAGAGCCCCAAGGCAGGGTGTTTTAAGTCGGAGTTGGCATCTCCTAGCCTTTGCTTAAAAATCATATCATACAAGGCAGCAGGACATGAAGCCGATTGTACTGGGTTACATGTTACCAGTAGCAGGATAAACCTGACCTGATTTGAGTATAAATAATCAAATGGTCTATAAATAATTTGAGTATAAATAATCAAACGGCGACGGGAAGAAGCGGGGCAGAAATATTTCTTTATTCTGTCCCATTTCACCCCTTTTTAAGGTACATTTCAAAATTAGGGCTTCTAGCGCACGCAGCAAAACAAGGCATTTTCTACTGAATAGAGGGAAAGAAATTTAATTATGTACATTAAATAACAGTATTTAGGAACCACTCCTAATTAGAAATTTCAGGATCTCACTTTTTCCTTACTGTTTATTCAATTTTGTAAGAAAGATTTTTGCAGGGACTCTATAAAAAAATTGTGGTGATAATCTTATCTTTCGAAATTTCTTTGAGTCATTTTTTCTTATATTATCATTTAAAATGTTAATTTTAATTTTTTGTTATTACTTTTTTGTTATATGATAACCTGTATACAATTTAATTGTACAGTCAGAATAAAAAAAAAAAATATTAACTGAGACTAATAAAAGACAGGAACGGCAACATTCTAATTTACTTTTTTAATTTTTCTGTGAGGAATGTATAGTTAGGCAAAAATCAATCACATGAGTATGCGAGCTCAAATTTTAATTTTTTGGAAGCAAACTTTGCATGCATGAGTGATTATAATTCCCTTACTATACCGCTCGCGCAGAAAAATGTTATACTTGGAAATAAAACTCCAAAAATTGGGCATAAAACTCCTGGAAGTGAAATTTGCTATCAGTGAACTTAAAACTTAAATATAATTTCTATAAGCTTATTGGAAAATAAACTTATCGTAAAAAAACTTAAACTATTTTTGATCGGCAGAAAATTGTTAACACAATGGTATCACTATGACAAAATAAGCATGATCAAAAAACTTTTTTGACCATTACAACTAAATTTGCACAATAAACGCCTTTTTATAAAATCTTTTCAATTTTAATTGATCTGATTTTGTGAGAGGCGGCGGGATTATGAAATTAAACTTGTGAAATTTGCATTGATTAAGTGCGAATTTCATTAGTAAAAACCTGCATAGCGGTCAACCAAATGCAAAACTTAATAAAAGTGCAAATCTGCCCAAGTGTGCCCAAAGAATTTACAAATACTGGCATAATTGTGAACTTTTATAAGTGAAAAACAGTTGCATAAACTGAAACAAGTGAGAATTTATTCAGCGTTTGTAA